CTTACTCCGGCAATCGCCTTGGATGGCGATCCAAGTTCAAGTTAGCCCTTTAAACTTGGCTAATAAAGTTTGGAAAGGTCTAGAAATGACAGAACCAACAAAGAACAACACCAGACAAATTTTTCGGAACACCGGGTATTCTAGGATTTTGTTAATACCGTTTACAGGACTGGCCCTAATATTTAAATTCTGGACTCCAACTAAACTTCGTCCAGAAAGAATTCTACACCTAGTCACGAAAAATAAGTCAATGTACTGGTGTCTTAATTGAGGGTTACCGCGCTGAAGACTGGAAAAGGGACTTCTTCAAAGTCTTCAGATGAAGATGCACGACATGTTTGCCACGAACACCAACGTCACGTCTTATTAAAGTACAGGATTACAAGCCAAACTTTCTAATTTCAGCGTACGATACTAGAATTTGTTGACATCATTGTAACGATGACTATGGTACAAGACCCACCTCTAATTTTTGCAACTAACACTCAAGAGATCCTTACACCAACTGTCAAGCAGATTTATGTTCGACCCACAGTCTCCTACAGAGGTAATATTTCAGATCCCCCTCACAAAGTCTCAGGGAGACCAATATTTCCAAATAGTAATGAATAGGTCTTACTTAAAAGGACAGCAGTTCCTCATGCTTGTCACAAACCACTACCGGCGATTTCTCGTTTGTCAAGGTGACACTAGTCACAACAACAATGGCCCTTTAATGCGTGGCACTGACTTTGTCAGTTTGCACCTTCAAATCAATGGGGGAAAGGTGACCCTCAAACAACGAGACGGTTCCACTTTAACAATTCTGACTTCAGATTTTTTGCTGTATTTAGTGTAGTGTATGCTGCTATATCACAGATTAGACGATTCGATATCAATTAAGATGTTTTGGTAATAAAACCGTATGGTCTGCACTAATATCTGTTGTAAACATCGGATTCGGCTATTTGTGCATAAAACAGCAGGTTTTCATTTCCCAACACAACAACTGCATAAATTTTAGAAATCCGTCAAAACATTCTTGCTTCTTTCAGTCCTTCTAGCAGATTCCTCATTGAGGATAACATGAGAGAAGTGCAGAAGCAACAAATCGATGGTGATGGAAAGGAATTTCCTTAGTATCGATTCAGCGATGTAATCAGAGATGTCGAAATCTTGAATGCCAAAAGATTCACGTTCTACCAAATTTCATCGATATTATACGCTCTAAGCCCTCTTTCAAACAAAAAGTGCGTCCGGTACTGGCAATGTGTCAATTGATAGGCATTACTATTGCGAAAGATCCTCGAAAGTTTTCAAATGTTGCGCAACATACTGAAATCTGTCTGCGACCAATTTTGTCATTCTTTTTTGAATGAAGAATATTTTGAAGGTTTTGAAATGCGAATAAGCTAACGAGAACTAACGCTACACTACACTACTCACTACTGAGTCACAAATATTTTACCTCCTGGGCCTCCTTCTCGAACTTTTCAATAGTTCTCTTATCGATTCCACCACATTTGTAGATCAAATGACCAGTGGTGGTCGATTTTCCTGAATCGACGTGGCCAATAACGACGATATTAATATGAGTCTTTTCCTTTCCCATGGCGGAGTGCTAGCTGAAATGTCCTAGGTTGAATCTACCTAAAAAACCCCGCTTTTCGGGGTTTCTAGGTTTCTACTCGCTACTTGTACTAAGATCTATCTAT